AGGATGAATATGATTCAATTGGGGGATTCATCTTGCTAGGGAGCAAGGTAATAGCTAGATTGCATATGTAATATAATCAAAATTAATTAAATATGCAGTCTCTAGAATTGACATGGATGGCAAACTATCCATGTATTACATTATCTGTGATATCAACATAAAAACGATTTTGTAATGTATATATCTCTACTGTCTAAAGTGGGTTCATAAACTTCCTTGCTCTATATCATTGGACATTGATAAATCATTTTAAGATAGCGCAACTAGCGTAAGAACATTTTAATTTAGATGACTTAAACAAACTCAAACAGATGTTTTAGAGCAATCAGGGCAGCTAAAATGACCTCTAGCGTTACAGTTGGTGCAAGAAATGGATCTTACTTTCGAATCACTACCCCCAACCGATTCATAGAAGTCATCAATGAGATTTAAACCAAACACTCCACCTTCTTTGATTAATCCAACTCCTTTGCATCTTGAGCATGCTATCATCCTCAGATTGCCACATCTCTTGCACATTCCCAAAGAACTGAATATTCAAAGGATTCATTCATACGCAGCACACATAAATCAGAATGTACAAATACATAATACACAAATCCCACAAGCAAGTAGAAATTGAAACTGGATGACAAATTTTACTCATTATTTTTGTTCTAGTGAATTTGTTTATAAGTGCTCCAAGTTTGCCTCCACATTTAAAAACCTTCGAGTTTTATTGAATTGACAGTATACTTTATAATTGAAATTGATTTTTAACCCACAGGAAAAAAATTCATTACAAGGATATTTATCCAATTCTTTGAAACTAATTACAACTTGATGAAGATAATGGAGCTGAAACGAACTCAAACATTAGAAAGAGTCAAAGACAAGCCTTTTGTGATGAATTTTGGAAATGGGTAATTACCTGCGCTGAGAGGCAGAGATGAAAGCGTCGACCTTTGGGGCAGCAATGGTGGCGCAGAGGAGCAGAGCCCCAACTCCAAAGCCCGCCAGCTCGCTGGCCGTTATGTTATCCATTTTTCCTCTCTCTCTCTCTCTCTCTCTCTCTCTCTCTCTCTGTGTCTCTGTTTTCCTGTCCCAGCTCTTGCTGATAACTGATACTAACCACCTTATCTGAATTTTCAGATTATTTGTCGGTTAATATTCTTATCGGGGCTCGAGAAAGCATCAACGGCCTATTAGCTCAGCTGGTTAGAGCGTCGTGCTAATAACGCGAAGGTCGCAGGTTCGAGACCTGCATGGGCCAACTTTTTGTTTTGTTTTTCTTCGTGTCATATTGGTCATTTCCCCATGTCCTAGGCTTTGTCATATTGAGTCTTAGGGGGCTTGACCTACACATCCCAAGTCCCATCTCTTGTTGTGTTAAATGGCCCATTTTTTGTCTCTTGGCATTTTGGGAACCCAAAACTTACTTTTAATTCACTAATTAACATGAAACCCACTTGCATTTGTGTCTTCGTTCAGTTGGCTAAGAAAAAGGAAGTGTATATGTCCTCTTTACATATGAGCTCGATCTTCCTATTCATATATTAGAGTAATTTGAATATGATTTTGTCAAAAAGAAAAAAAAAACATGAAACCCACTAGTTAGAACATCGTTTTGTTAAAAATAAAAAAAACATGTAACCCACTTACGTTTGATTTTTGTTTCCATGAGAACTATTTGTTTTTATGTCATTGATTGGTAATTATGATTTAATTTCATCACCATCTATCTTTTTATCAATTCTTGTCATCACCATCAGTTGGTAAGGTCCTTGCACTTTGTGTAGCTTCACAAATGTTTGAGTCCCACAGCCAACAGTTCTTGTTGGTGCATGATTTATAATTTCCTATATAAATTCATACCGGTGGCAGTAAGAGTAGCCAATCTTCCCCTGAACTTTTGTTCACTTAAAAAATATAAAAATAATAATAATAAAAAACTCTAAGAAGCAGTAAGATTTTGGGTGGCTTTGAAATTTTAGGAACCAACCATTTGCATGCATATCTCTCTCTTTGGTTGATGGTAGCGAAAAGAAAATGTAAAAAAAAAAAAAGAGGCCATGACACATATAGCACACTAGACGTAAGTTGTTAAAATATACTAATGACATGTTTACTAATCTGTAATTGGATTAACAGGAATTGAATTGAGGATGAATTGAATGGAGGAGGAGTTGGATTGAGGAGAATTAGATTCCATATTCATATTGAAGTTGTTTACTAAATCATATGGAATTGGGCTATGAGTGGTGCTAATTACTAAAATATCCTCATTGTTTGATTAAAGTAGATGGCAAAATTGAAAATTTGAAAATTATGTGAGGATATAATGTTTTAAAAATATGAATTCCTAATAGGTTAGTTCTCCATGAATTAGAATACCTCCTCCTACCCAAGATTTCAATTCCTCCAAAACCAAGATTTGAGTTCCTGATTTTGTGTGGGTTCCACTCGCATTTTGATTCCTCAATGTGAAGTAAACAGAAGAGCAATTACTAAAATATCCTCATTGTTTGATTAAAGTAGATGGCAAAATTGAAAATTTGAAAATTATGTGAGGATATAATGTTTTAAAAATATGAATTCCTAATAGGTTAGTTCTCCATGAATTAGAATACCTCCTCTCATCTAAAAATTAAATTCCTCCAAAATCAAGAATTTAATTTCTAATTTTGTGTGAGCCCCGCTTACTTTTCAATTCCTTGATATGAAGTAAAAGCAGGAATCCTTCACAGGTGGAATTCAATTCCTAATTAGTAAACACACCATAAGTTCCATCCAATTAATGAAACGTTATCACTTTAATTTTATTCAACTTTCAAGTGCCTTTTCATGGATATGCATGAATATAAATCTTAGGCTCAGCTCTTTCAATTAGTTTCAGGTTTAAACATCTTCTGCTACATACAGAGTTGGCCCATAGCATGTGCGGGCTGTGCGACCGCATAGGGCCCCCAAAATTTAGGAGCCTCCAAATGTTTTTAAAAGTCCAGTATTATATTATATATTTTTTATTCCAAAAATATTATTATTATTTCCTAACGAGCAGATATTTGTTCCTTCTTGATTCTTCCGTCTTCCGTCCAAACACAAAGTCTTCTTTACTCTTTGGCAAGTCAAAAGGCGTGCTCTCTCTCTCTCTCTCTCTCTCTCTCTCATATTAGAATTTAGAAATTATATGTTGCATTTGGAATTAGCCATCATATGATTGCAAGAAGTGTGCATCTTGAGTGTTGCTGGTTTTATAGTATTTTGCTTCATTTTGCTAGGTGTAGTTCTTTTGTATGCAAAAGAAAATTGAATAGATGTGAGTATGTGAAAATAGAGGAAGGATGATCTTGATTCTATTTGTGGGTTCTAATTTAATTGATGCCACATAATGATTTCGGTTTAATTTATGATTTATGAATTTTAAAATTTTAAAAATTGTTATTTTACTTATACATATAGGACCTCATCAGCTTTCTTCCCACAGGCCTCCATATCTAATGGACCGGCTCTGGCTACATACATATTACTATTGACTAGACGCCTCTCTTTCGCTTCATCGATCAATCAGAAGATGTTCTTGTGGCCTATTTATTAGCTTACCTCTTGTCAATCATCTCCCGCCATCAGCTTTCAACTTGGTCATTGACTGGTCAAGATTTGGACACTTTAAAAGTCAATCCCGGTCAAAATTGGGAAATTAGGTATACAAATATTTGACACAAAAATTATTTTAATGGCTCTCATTGCTCATGCAATTTTAATTTCTCCATTGTTGCATGTATGAAATGAACATGAGGGCAACATAAAGCCTGTCAATCTGACTATACATATGAATGACAGCCATTTTGACTTTGCATATCTAAATCCTTTTGAAATTCTCAAAGATCTGCAGAAGCATGATTTCATATGTAGGAAAAGTTCATGTAAAATTGTCTGCTGATCGATTCATGAAACTGTGTTTTCTTTCTCTTTGGGAACATTTTTTTTCTTATGCAGAGAAAAAAAATTACAAAACAGCTTTGTTGATCACTCATCCCGAACCAACTTAATGGATATCTTTGTAGAATACATGGCAAATGCAATGGGAATAACATTGGTAATGAATAATAATAATATAAAGAATAGAAAAGAAGGATGAGCATTTGGTTACACAAATCTTATTTATTATATGTAAATCAAAATTAGCAATAGTGCAAGTACAACAATAATAAACCAACATACAGAAGTAAAAATTGTTATTTTACTTATACATATAGGACCTCATCAGCTTTCTTCCCACAGGCCTCCATATCTAATGGACCGGCTCTGGCTACATACATATTACTATTGACTAGACGCCTCTCTTTCGCTTCATCGATCAATCAGAAGATGTTCTTGTGGCCTATTTATTAGCTTACCTCTTGTCAATCATCTCCCGCCATCAGCTTTCAACTTGGTCATTGACTGGTCAAGATTTGGACACTTTAAAAGCCAATACCGGTCAAAATTGGGAAATTAGATATACAAATATTTGACACAAAAATTATTTTAATGGCTCTCATTGCTCATGCAATTAGTTTCTCCATTGTTGCATGTATGAAATGAACATGAGGGCAACATAAAGCCTGTCAATCTGACTATACATATGAATGACAGCCATTTTGACTTTGCATATCTAAATCCTTTTGAAATTCTCAAAGATCTGCAGAAGCATGATTTCATATGTAGGAAAAGTTCATGTAAAATTGTCTGCTGATCGATTCATGAAACTGTGTTTTCTTTCTCTTTGGGAACATTTTTTTTCTTATGCAGAGAAAAAAAATTACAAAACAGCTTTGTTGATCACTCATCCCGAACCAACTTAATGGATATCTTTGTAGAATACATGGCAAATGCAATGGGAATGACAGTGGTAATGAATAATAATAATATAAAGAATAGAAAAGAAGGATGAGCATTTGGTTACACAAATCTTATTTATTATATGTAAATCAAAATTAGCAATAGTGCAAGTACAACAATAATAAACCAACATACAGAACTTCATAGGAATAATTAATTAGGATATATATAATAATCTGGTACCAATTAATAGATAATAAATCAGCCCTCTTGGATTCTTAGAAGATGTAGCCTCCATTATAGAATGTGTTAGAGTAATCCCCTCCAGAAGAGAAAGCTGTAACTGCTGCTTGATTCTGCATTGCTGATTTGTTGCACTGGCTTAAGCTTGTGTTTCGACCGTTTACATGCTCATCATCTAAGTTCCAGAGGCGCCCCATATATAACCCTTCTTCTCCTAATATATCTGCCCAAGACCCTACACTTCCTTGGTTCATCAACGCAGGCAAGCAATATTGGTCCCCCTCCAAGTTGGGGTAGCTGCTACTAATAAGATCCATATTATTCTCTTGCCTTGCTTGTGCCTCATGATCAGTAATCATGTTAATGTTATCTCCTTGGCTTGCTTCCGATTGTGGGGTGGCTCGTATTTTCAGGTTTTGATCTTCCTGCAGTTGTTGTTGTTGCTGCTGCTCCTGTTGTTGTTGTTGTTTTGCTAGAAGAATTTGAGCTTTTCGTTTCTCTTGCTTCAGAGTGCATTTCTCTTTCTTTTTGAAATGAGTTCTCCAGAAGTTCTTTATCTCATTGTCTGTTCTTCCTGGCAAGTATCTAGCAATGGTAGACCATCTGTATACAATATTAATTTCACATAAAAATGAGTGCACTTGATAATTATTTAATCTAGCTAAACTGCACAGACAGACAGACAGACAAAGCATAGGGCATCATTATATTGCTTACTTGTTACCCCATAAAGCATGCAATTCAATAATGATGCCTTGTTCCTGAGGTGTTATGTGGCCTCTCTTTAATCCAGGCCTAAGATAATTCACCCATCTAAGTCTGCAACTTTTGCCACTCCTGTTCAAACCTGAAAAATCAAAATTAACCCCAACTGAGCTTAAAAAAAACAACATGAAATTATTAGAAGTTAATTAAGAGAGTTTAATTTAAGTTAATTTAATTACCTGCACACTTAGCCACACAACTCCATCTTCCCTCTCCATGGAAGTTGACATATGCATTGAGCAGCTTGTCTTCCTCTGGTGTCCAAGGACCTTTCCTCCATCCTTGTTGTTCTGCAACCCCCCAACCCATCATTGCTACCATCCTTCCTTTCCTTGGTTTCACTTCAATTCAACCCAGCTGTTTGTTGTCTCTGTATTCTGTGATACTTATTGCACAATGCATGGCTAGCTACCTTCCCTCTATATATATATATATGCATGAGCATGACATATATATCTCCTCCTACCTCTGAATCAGTGACTTCAATATTGTTTTCTTTGATGATCTCAGTCAAGATCTTTGAATCGAATCTATGCTTCAGTCTCTCACCATACCAAGAAATTGACCCTTCAATCTACAAATCTGAGTCCAAGTGTTCAGACATGGTGTGTCAACCAGCTCAATATACTTTCAACCAATCAGACCACAACAGGTGTGCCTTCTCACTCCTAGTCACCGTACATAATGACATCACCATCAATATAATTCCCTCTGCACAAAACACAACACAAGTCACATTGTGTTCCATTGTTTTATTTTTCTTGATGATGAAATTAATCTGTCATTGTTGAGATTAGTGGGTTGTTGATGTCTCCTTCGAAAGTGCCTTTGATCCAACTGGTGTGTAACATCTGTGGCAAAAGTATTGCACGATTAATTAGCATTGTTTATGGTTAATGACATCTATTAATTAAATTTTTTAAGCACAGAGAAGTTTCTAGGATGCTATTTAGGGTAATGGGGCACATAAAGTTTTGAAAGGTCTTTGATGAGTCACCTATCCTACACCTGGCTCTTGGACTATATCTAAGTAGCTTATTTGGAAAGTTGGGAAGTGCTTAATTGGTTTAACTGATTTTTTCAAAAGCAATCTATGCCTATATATAGTAGGTAATGATGGTTACAGAAACTATATATTAGTATTTGAGCTTTGGAAAAGATTACATAAGGTTCAAGATCTTGTCAAGCTTAAAGATTTTACAGAAAGAAATGCTTGATTTGATGGGGCCAAAATGAAGATAGCTTTTGCTTCTCTCCTAACCCCTTTTGAGTAATGTTACTTCATCAATGACCACGAAACCCAACTTTACTTTGGACAAACTGGGAACTATCCCTTTCAATCTACACAACCTATGTATTTGTTCATGCATCTACTGAAAAAGAAGAAGAAAAAAAAAACATTTCGAATTAATTTTCATCTCTATATATATGATATGATGATCTTTGTGCTAAAGTGGATGATATTATATGGTTTCTAGAAGGATCTAGTTACAACCTAAAAGATATTATAAAGGGTTCCAATAATTTCATTTTGGGCACAATTTTGTGGAATTTATATTTCTTTCCACATAGCAGAGAGCAGATGTACATATGAAGATTTCAGAATTAGTTAATGATTAGGTACGTAATGTACCAAATATTGAGCAAAATAATGTAGCAGCTAATGAGTGGTATTTTCTTTAGAGATTTTCTATTTAAACCCTACACTTCTCTTAGTTCACCCCATGTTCTAATTTAAATTTTCACAATTTCTAAGAAAACCCCACTATCTTCCCAAACTACCCTTAAATACACCCCAAACTGAAAAAATAAAAAATAAAAGAGATTTTCTATTTAAACCCCACAATTTTCTTTGTTCCCAGAAAAAAAAAACACAAACAAATAGAACCCTAAACCCGAAATTTAATACTTTCTAGAGAAAGAGAACAATTTTACCTCTCTCCAAGAACTGTAACTGGAATTCCAACACTTGGGTATTGTTGAGTTGATAATCAACAAGCCTTTCCATCAACTCCCACGCATATTTAAAGAGGTAGGCTCGTCAATTTTCCATGTCTTTAAAAGAGAAGAGTAATCTAGCAACAGGATGTAGAGGAGTTTGTATTTTTCTAAAACTTGATATGAAGAGTGGTGGTGTGTGGGGTGTGTGTATAGATGTACTAGGGTTAATTATTAAGTTGGATGACTTTTTTTGTCTTTTTACACAATAATAAAATTTACAGCTTAATGATTTAAGTATTGAGATGAACAAAGAGAAGTGCGGGGTTTAAATAGAAAATCTCTTTTCTTTATTGTTAAACTAATTAAACTCTGTTGATTAAATTTGATCTAATTTCTTTTTCCTCCTTTTGATGATGGCTAAGAACTAAATGAAGAAATGGTCCCCCACTGCCCATTTTGGCATATTGATATATTTTGTACAAGAGTCCAATGGTTAAAGAAACTCCACTACAATGTGTGGAGGATTAACAATGCATCCTAAAAGGTACAAACAATAAGACTTTTAGAACTCATAAGAAGGATTGCATCATAAGTTAAAGCATATGGAGTCATCCCTGTGGCAAACTTTTTTGAAGTTCTACATGCCCATAAGTTTTCTGATAACCTTTTCTTGAAGTTAAACTATAATTTTTCCCGCCGTTGTTGTATCTTGTATATTATTTTTACTATAATTAGTATTATTATGGGTCAGAAAGGCAGAATATGAAGCCCGAACCAATCAAAATTAATATTTAGATTATATGGGCTTTTTCTTGGGTCACAATTTTGAATCCCAAAGCCCAAAACCGAATCTAAGATAATGTTTTATTCACGTCTGCATTGAAGTTCAGAGGCCTATTAAAAATGGGCGGTCCAAACAGCCTAGTGTTTATCAACTTTTCAATGTGAAATAATGGGACTTAGGTGGGTTCGATGTGGACCACTTTGGCTTATATGGATTTATATTTACAATAAAGTTCGGGCTTTGTTGCAAACGAGATCTAGCTTTATGGAAAAAAGGGTATTGACTTGCAAACCAGTAATCTTGGGTTCAGAGTCTTAACTTTCAAACCAGGGATCTTGAGTTTGAACCTAATGACATCTTGATAGTATGTGTATGAGAAATCTCCCGCCCATGTATTATAGACTATCACTTGTACTTAAAAACAGAAAGTTAGAATTTTGTCTGTCGCCATGGTGAGGTTCGAAAGCAGCTGTAAGCCCAGGGACAAGGAGCTCTCTCTACTTGTATATTATGCACCTTTGGTTGACTAATTAAATTAGTATGAACAAATATGCAACAAAAGAAAAGAGACAAAATGAGGAACACCAATTTACGGTACAATGTATATAAAACAAAAAAATAATATTTGTGCATCGACTCACTCACATGAATATATATCTGTACATAAGATAAATCCAAAATGGTGCACCAATTGTCCCGTTTCTATTTTTCTAATTACCTTTGTTATTATCTCCATGGATGATTACCAATAATGAATAAGCTAATTTGCCTTCGCTTATTAACTTGTTTTCTTCTTCTTCTTTTTTTGTTTATATTTTTGTCTTTATTTTTTCTCTCTCTCTGGTATACGCAGGGAGAAGCAAATTCACAAGTGAAGATGATGATGAGATGGAGGGTTGTCGTCTTCGCTGGTTCTGGTTGAAAGGAGACGATAATACAAAAAATGTTAATGTGAGAGTGTGAATGTATATGAATCTTTTTTATATAATGGAGTAATGAACAAGTGGCGGGCATATGCATACTGCCAAAGCCATTGGAAGAGCTCTTTTGTCTTAACTAAGTACTTAGACTTAATTAATATCGACATGCAAATATTCATACAACAAAATTATACGAAGAAAGATGCTAAGAAATGCAACATTTGGGAAAACAAAAATATTCTATGTCTCAACCAAAACTTGCTTGTACTCTTTCATTTGGAGCTCTCACATAAACTTCCAATTAGCAAAGAATACATTTGGAGCTCTCCCATATGTGTCCAAGAGTAAAGCATCCCTTGAATCCCCGCCCACTCCTCTTCTAGATTCCCATACAACCTTTAAAACCAACCCAAGCTCAAAGCCTCCTCAAACTTTATCAATTAACATGCAACAAGCACAATTTTCTCTAAATTAAGCATACACAAGTCCACCTTCATGTATCCATCATCATCTTCTTCTTCTTTGTCATCGTCGTCACCGCCTCTTGAAGCCTTAAAGCCAGAAGAAAGAGGGTTACATCTAATCCAACTCCTCATCAAGTGTGCTAACCACACAGCATCCGGCGACCTCAATCTAGCTGATGAATGTCTTTGCCAAATCTCACGACTTGCGTCCTTGCATGGTGATTCCATGCAAAGGCTCGCGGCCCAGTTTGCCTCTGCTCTCGCGGTCCGTCTTGTCAAGAATTGGCCTGGCATCCAGAAGGCCCTAAACTATGACACCAAACGGCCCAAACTAGAGTTGGACCCGGCTCGTGTCATCTTCACAAAGGCCTTCCCTTATCTCGGTTTTGCCTATGCCATCATCGCCCGAACCTTGCTCCAAGCCATGTCTGCCGAGCGAGTAATCCACATTGTGGACTTGGGTTCCGCCGACCCAAAACTATGGGCTCCACTTTTGCAGAGCTTCGCAGCTTTGCCAGATGGGCCTCCCCATTTGAAAATTACTTGTGTACATAGCAATAAAGCTGTCTTGGAGAAGTTGGGTCTAAAGCTTGTAAAAGAGGCAGAGGCCTTAGACATGCCATTCCAATACAACCCACTAAATGTTAGCCTGAGAGAGTTGACAAAAGACATGCTTAAGGTAAGGTTAGGAGAAGCATTGGGTTTTGTCTCAATTCTCAATCTACATGTCTTGTTGGCCCAAGATGACCAAGCGGACGCACAATTTAGGCCCAAAAAGAGCAATATTGATGTCAAGGATTGTAAGCAAATGGGTGAGTTTTTAGGCATGGTAAGGTCAATGTACCCAAAAGTGGTGTTGTTGGTAGAACAAGAAGCTCACCATAATTCGAACCATTTGGTGGACAGATTCATTGAGGGCTTGCACTATTATAGCGCAATGTTTGATTCATTAGAGGCCAGCTTTGGGGGCTTGTCTTCATCAAGTGAAGAACGCTTCGTTTTGGAGGAGATGTTTGGGAGAGAGATTGAAAACATTGTGGCTTGGGAGGGTGTGGAGAGAGAAGAGAGGCATGAGAGATATGCATGGTGGATGGTTAGGTTTTGTGAAGTTGGGTTCAAACCTGTGCGCTTGTGGTTGGATTCTATGGAGGATTCAAAGAAGGGTTACAAGATTATTAGCCAGAGAACAAGTTTGATGATTTGTTGGAACGAAAGGCCTCTCTATGCTGTTTCTGCTTGGACTTGTTAGCTAGCGTAGCATCATAATTTCTTTTTGTTGTTGTCATTAATCATATGAATACAAGTTCTCAAAGATCAAATTTGGAGTTAAAATTAGCAATTCAAGGCTTTTGTTGTGTTGCTCCAAGTGATGTTTATTTATTTGTGCACGAGGTTTTTTTTTGTTGGTCAAAGAGGTTTTGTTTGGAGATTCAGTTTATTCTATTTCATTTTTTTTGTTTTTTTTTTCTTATATAAGTGATATTCTACTTTAAATTAATCTAAACTATAGGGAGATGGATTCAAATTCGGGTGCAGAGTGGGGAGCACATCCGCTCTAGCCAACTTTGTTAAACACATATATGCTTTATTTTAGTTTTGAAATAAGTTAAACATTTAATATACCAGAAAATGCCATTGGTTAATGCAAACATTAAGAATTGAAATTATTAATTAAAAAAATTAAAATCAAAAGAAAAATCAAATAATGGATCCCATTTTTATAGAACACAACTACCCATTATTATTTTTAACTCTAAAACAAATTTAATTTATAAATAAAATAAAAAAAAACTCTTCCGAGTTCCGAGATGGAAGCGCGTGCAAAGAAGCTAGTTTAATAGAATTCACATGTTAATAATTGAGTCATCAATCTACCAGGGAAAGAACCTCCATGGCATAACATAATGTACTTGGCGCATGATATCACATTTACTTTTTAATAAATTATTGCGGTTTGTCACGGAATTTATTACCTTACATGCTTAATTAAATACTAACCTCTTGTCATTAGTGTGTTAAAAAAATTTCCATATGCAAATATAATTTGTTTTTTACATCAGGTAACTATATAGATATTTACAAATATAAATAATAATAATAATGATAAAAAAAACAAAAAAAAAGAATGTGGGAGGAGTGGGGAGTTAAAAGAGGAATGTGGATGGAGTGGGGAAGTAACTTCCAATATAAAAGATCTAAAAACAAGTAAATTCTCTTTTTTCTATTGGATCTTAGCGAAGCGTCCCGGATTCGGGCTGACCCGACATTCTAACCCACCCGTCGTCCATAACTTCCAAGCTCATGTTAGCAAAAATCCACTAACAGCTGCTATAGTGTGCCGAGGAGTGAGGGTTAGGGTTTAAGCAGAAAAGAGAAAAAGAAACGTTCAATTTATCCGAAAATCAAAATATTCTAATAGCGATTAGCAGCAGCAGTGATAGGGTTTTCAAAATAACAAGCTTGTGTGCTGTGTACATATAAAAGTCGTTAGTTTGATGCTACTTGCACAAACTCTCAGACTTCTTGCACAAATTCTCCGACTCCAAACCAGAGCTTCATAGGAAGAAGAAGGGGAAGAGAAAGTCTCTTGCTTTTACAGTGTTACGTTTGTTGCCAACCCGGAATAAGCTAGAGGGCCACCCAAGGAAGATACCCAGAGCTTGTTTTTGCATGAAAGTGAAGGAACAATGACGACCGATCTCAGTGATTACGCCATCATCAAGGAAGGAGAGGCTGAGATTCTCATGCATGCTAAAAACCAAGTCTTTTACAACAAAACTCAGGTGCCAAAATCTTCTCTTTTCGATGATTTTTGCATTGGATTATTGGTTTTGATGGGTTTTTGAGATGCAATGTTAGGGGTTTTGTGTTTTTTGAGTTGGTTATGAATTGGAAGTTTGCTGGGTCAATGTTAGTTGTTGAAAAGTTGCGTTTGGTTGCTGGGAAAACAATGTAGGACAAGAAAAGAAATTAAAGTTTTGAATTGAAGAAGTCCGAGATGTTAAGGTGGTATTTGTGTGATTAATATTCGTTGAGGAATGTCTGTGAGGGGGCCTTGGAGATGAAATATTATAGATGTCTCACATTTGAGAGCGTTTAGGTGAAGCAAAGCCAATTCACATGTATGTATCTCAATTGGCTTATCATTTAGGTTGAGTATTTTTTTGTCTAATGGAATAGAATGGAACATCAGAGGTATGTATCAAACCCCAAACAATAATGATGTTGATGATTGTTGCCTTAAGTGGGTTTCTTTTGTGCTTTTTGTTTTTGTTTGAGAACTGTATAAAATTATTACCAGATATAAAATGTGTGTCTCCCTAACCATGGGAGAAAAGAATAAAGAAAATGAAATATCAAAAGTGAATGCTCATGGATGAAGCGAGAAGCTCTAGCCATCCGCACATATGATACTTTTGGGCATTCAAGTTGTTGATCACTTTCTTAGAATTTTATAATTTTGCGCATTATAGTTCTCTTTCCAGTTTTAACTTGTCTGCAGCCCAAAGTTCTTTGTTCTCAAATAAAAACGTGTTTGTCATCCATTGCTTTCAACGTTGACATATTTCCAACGTTTAACATCCCTTGTCCATTATATTATTTGAACCTTTTTTAGTATGGTAAAAATGATGTAGCCTATGCTTTGCAATATAGGCGACTGTTAAGCTTTAACTATTAGTATTTGTTGGTTACATTAAAGCCTCCAATTTTGCTGGTTGGCTTTTAGATTTCATAATATAGAAGGATCTTGATTGTTTCATTCTGTAAAATTTAGGTTAACAACAGAGACATATCAATTGCGGTTCTGAGGGCATTTATTGAAAAACGCAAGGAGGAGCATGAAGCAAGATTGTCCAAGAAAACAAAAACAGCACCAAAGGTGTCTGAGAAAGATGCTTCAAATTCTGTTGTAGAAGAAGTATCTAATGAGTCTGATATTATTGATGAAAAAACGAATGGAGATTGTGAAGTGGCAGCAGAGATATCTCAAGAGGAACCATGCAGCATTTCACAAGAACCGAACAAGGTCACAGAGGGAAAAGGACAAGTGGAACTGAAGCCACCAAGAGTTCTTGAGGTTTTTGCATGAATTTCAATTTTAATCAATTAATTAGTTTCTTTCATATTCAAAGTTTTGTTATTGAAGATGTAATCGACATTTCTCTTTTGTACCATTTGTGTTCACAGGCCTTGTCGGCTTCTGGTTTAAGAGCTCTTAGGTATGCTCGTGAAGTGGAAGGGATTGGTCAAGTTGTGGCTCTAGACAATGATAAGGGTAAATTTCAGGCTGTCTCAATATATTGCATCAATAATTGTCTACAAATGTATAAAGCCATTTTTGTGATAACCTTAAAAAGAATGAATAATTAATGAAAATATGGACCCAAAGAAGTAGATAAGATTCTATTTCCTACGTAAATACATGGTGGCATATCTTAGATGTAGCTGCATATTAGGTTTTCTGATTAATCGTAAGCTTCATAACAGTGATCACTATTATTTTCCTTCCTGCAGTTTCTGTTGAAGCTTGTAGGAGAAACATCAAGTTCAATGGTTCAGTTGCATGTTCAAAGGTGGAATCACATCTTGCTGATGCTCGTGTGCATATGCTCACCCACCCAAAAGAATTTGATGTGGTATGCATATGTTGTTTCATATGTTTATGTTAATTCTCAAGGAATTTTCATTTAGAATAGTTTATCTGAATATGGTTTGCAAGTGCCATAATACCCCTATGTTGAATAAAATAAAATAAGCAATAAAGCCTAGACTGGTTGGTTTCATCACAAGGAGGCTTCATAGTGATTATCCTTATTCCTTTTAAATTTATATTCTTGACATGAACCACTAACATACTCTTTGTTTGTTATTGGTGTTCCAGGTTGATCTTGATCCTTATGGTTCTCCCTCTGTCTTCTTGGACTCAGCGGTTCAATCTGTTGTTGATGGAGGATTGTTAATGTGTACAGCAACTGATATGGCAGTGCTATGTGGTGGTAATGGGGAGGTTTGCTATTCAAAGTAAGTAGTCATACCTTTCTGCTGCTCTACTTTTGCTTGAACATGTTTTCTGATTCATTGACTTATCTATCAAGAACTGTTTTGTGGTATTAGATATGGTTCCTATCCATTGAGAGGGAAATATTGCCATGAAATGGCTTTGAGGATCCTCCTAGCCTGCATTGAGGTATCATTATGTCTTTGATTATAGCCTTTACCTTGAACGTGCAAACTATTTGAAGGTTGTTATTTAGCCAGAAGGGAAGTAGAATTGATATTGCAATTCTGTTGGTAATATAGTTTTTGGCACATGTCTTTTCTGAAGCAACTATTTACAATGATTATTTTGAGTTTCTCACTTCTTTGATTTATCCTGGGTTGTGCCATTTTTGTGTAATGATGATCTAGATAACGATTAAATGTTTTCGATTAAGTTTAAATTGAAGTTTGATTGTTATCCCAACTCAAGGCAGGCAAATGACTATAAACATGAAGAGTACCCCGTTAGATCATGATTTATAGTTTGATTAATGTTACTCTACGTATATATTTCATTCTGATGCATAGTTAATTTCCTCTTTATACAATGCAGAGTCATGCGAATCGTTACAAACGATACATTGTTCCTGTGCTATCTGTTCAGATGGACTTCTATGTTCGAGTTTTCGTCCGTATCTACTCGTATGTGGCCTATCTACTTTAAATTAGTTCAATGTCAGCTACTAGGCTAAATAACATTTCTTTCTTTTGTTGTTGACTGATAGTTCAAACAATTGGTTGCAGTTCTGCAAGTGCAATGAAGAACACTCCCCTTAAGCTCTCGTATGTTTATCAGTGCATTGGTTGCGATTCTTTTCATCTTCAGCCTATTGGAAGGACTGTCGCCAAGGTATAATGCTGATATACGGTGTTAACACGTGCTTTATGTATTGATGACAAAAATCATCTCAAGAATGTTGATTCTCTTGCTTATCCCCAACTATGTGTACCGTCTAAATTATATTTGTAACAATGACCTTAAAAAGCTAAATGGAAAGTTATAAGGGTTGATGTTATAAACAACCTTTTAGGACAGTTACCTTCATTCATAGGGCATTGATCTTTCATAGTTCTTATCCTACGTATTAGCAAGCTTTGTGCAACTGTACAATATCTTCATATGCATGTCTCTGTGAGTATGTGTTTAGAATATGTTTCACCCCTCTGATTTATTACAAAGAGTTGTGCGTGCGTTGAAGGCTTGTGGTTTTATTTTAATGGAATTTTATTTTATAGTTTATTTCAATAGTTTTCTGATAAGGCATCCCTCTGCTTTTTCAGAACAGCAGTGTAAGATATCTACCGGGTTTTGGTCCTGTTGTTCCTCAAGAATGCAATGATTGTGGGAAGAAATTCAATATGGGTGGGCCCATATGGTCTGCTCCTATCCATGATCAAGAGTGGGTAACTTCCATACTATCAGATGTGAAATCTATGAAGGAGCGGTATCCTGCTTATGATCGCATCTCTGCTGTACTAACAACAATCTCAGAGGTGTGCCTTTTGTTTGTTATTTATAATATTAGATATAAATTAGATGTGCTATTGTGTTTAAGCATGGCTAGCATTAGATGCTACTGAAAAGTTTGCCTTTCTTCTAAGAAATAAAAATGATAACTTATGTTTTGGGCAACCGAAAAATATAGGTGTGCATGTGTATAATATTTATGTCTTATGCAGTTTTAGTAATCTGAGTTTATTTTTTGCAGGAGTTGCCTGATGTTCCTTTGTTCTTGAGTCTGCACAATCTCTGTGCTACACTGAAGTGCACTTCCCCATCTGCAGTGATTTTCCGTTCTGCTGTGATCAATGCAGGATATCGTATATCTGGAACTCATGTAAACCCCTTGGGGTTAAAATCAGATGCTCCCATGAATGTCATTTGGGACATAATGCGCTGTTGGGTGAGCAGTCTCTCCATTCTCGCTTGTTTCTTTTGTCATGCATGTATATATATATATAACTAGTTGACAATCTGTTACGGTCCCTGCTTCTGATCCCTCTCGGCCCCGCATTAGACAGTATGGTTCTGTTGTTTATCATGTCTCTACACTGTATATTACTTGTTAACTGCATTAGACTTTCCATGAGGTTACTGCTGTTCACTAATTGGTTGTGGGATCATCTTATGCCTTGATTCTGTGTAGGTGAAGAATCACCCAGTGAAACCTCAGCCTCCAGAACAGTCAGGAACCGTGATACTTGCTAAGGAACCTGTTCTCCAAGTATGTTTCTCCCATTCTTGGATATGCTTTTGCATATATTTGTGACTGAAAATTCTCTTACTGACATGTTTTTTATTTTGGCAGGCTAATTTTGCTCGAGCCGTTGCGTCTCTAAGCAAGGCACAAACCAAGAAGGTAGCACGCTTCCTTCCAAATCCGGAAAGGCACTGGGGCCCAAAGCTTAGGGCAGGTCGTCAAATCACCAGCAAACACATCTCTCTCTTGGGTCCAGACGCTGTCAACGGAGTTCTTAACCATGAAGAGGATGAGGAACATAATGCCAAGCGTCAAAAGATTGAAGATCATCCCACTCCAAATTGATGAAATGAACGTTTTAAGTATGTCAACCAAGTTGACCTGGAGCTCCATACAACCGTTGCAAAGAGAACATACATAATCCTCCTTCCTCTTCATTTTTATTTGGAGACAGCAAGATGAGAGAGAGAGAGAGAGGCTTCTCACGAGCCAGTAATGAAGCCGCAGTAAAATTAACCGGAGCGGCCACTTTCTAGTGAATTAGAAGTCATTTTCAGCAATTTTGAGTTTGATTAGACCATATTTATTTGCATACTTTTGAGTTTGTAAGCAATTTTCTTGGATTTTTATTTTATTTATGCAAGAGGTCGAGAAGTAAGTTTTATTTTTGTCTGAAATTAATTTTGTTATATACCCAGTACCTGAAGTAAATGCAGAATTCTAATATGGAAGAAAGAGGAGCCCAGTAGAGATGCCAAACCATACAAATTGGACGCATCAACCTCACCCAGGTTCTCGTTTAACAAGATGAATGAAAAAAGATTTTGAAACACCCACCAAGATAGAAAAGGCTTGACGATTAACAACAAAAGTATTGAGATACAAAAATATGCCAACACGAGTCTGTTTATCTGCCAATTATTTATGAGGCAAACGTTTATCCTTGGATTAAAATGCTAAATGAACTACATATTTTATTGCACTAAGCTCATTGGACAAAGTAAATAAATAAAATTACATCTGCCGATATGCAAATCAAAGCGATGACCAAAATGGCTCAGGAGGATAAAAAAGATACAGTGACTAAACTAATGACAGCTCCAAGAAAGTACAGTAAATATAAGAGCAAATTGCAGTTGAATATTCAACTTTGTTTAAGTTCTTGTTTTAATTAGCCTTGCCGTTGGCCAGTTTGGCACCAGGTCCAGTTGGGTTAAGCTCATCCCAAGCTTCAATCCATGTGACCATGGCTTCGGCAAGCTTGTCGAAGTAGGGATCCACCTTGCCGAGCTTTTCCTTGACCTGCTTGGACAGTTCAACATAGCAAGCTTGAACAGTGGTGCAGTCTTTGGGAAGAACCGCAGCTTGGAAGAATGGGATGATCTCTTCCTGCCAGAAGATGCCTTTGTACTCCTTCCTCAGGTTCACAAATGGGTTGCTGGCTTTGCTGTGATAGATATAAGGCAGGCCTGTCTTCACTCCCAGTCCCAAGTGGTCACATATCACCTATGCATTCATTAACATACCACATTATTGTTAATATATATTCACATGAAAGAAAGAAGACTAGAATTACAAGTCATATTGGCATATGGTATCGAAGAAACAGAAAAAGAAAGGGGACCTTGATGCACCAGCCAGCCCACATATCGTCGTAGCGTCCAATTGGCTGACCATCACCCATGAGCCCGAAGTACATTGCAGGGCCAATGAGGTCACGGTCGAAACCCAAATTCATACCACACATGGGGAACAAGGTACCCTTTGGAATTGTCAGAACAGCATCCACAAACCTTGTGAAGAAGCACAAGCAGAGTGTTAAAAACCATATTGCATAATGTAGCATACAATGTGAGACGCAAGACTAAGGAAGTGTCTACCTGGTGTTCCTCTCAAGAGGCTTCACAAGCTGTGTAGGTGCATCATAATCTGGGATGTTTAGCCACAGACCATGAGAAACAGCAGTTGGGACACCCTCCCGGAGACTGAAAGGGTATCCACGAACGAAATCAGCGCCATCCCTGTAAGGATCATACAGAGTGTTGAAGAAAAAGGGGGTGGATGGTGAAAGAAGGTTCTTGATGTGCTGCTCCAGTGCATTGACGGGTTTGCCAGCTGGGTCTTGTGCAACCTAAGCATACGTATAAAAAAACCATGAGCAGTTAAATTAGATGCTAATAAACTACAATTAAGACGTCACCCCTTTTATAACATCAAATAATAAAATAAAATAGTAAAGAAAAGAGAAAATATGCCAAGCAGATGCATGCCCTGAGAGAGGAAAGGACAGAAGCAAGTTGCAGATAAAACAAACACCAAAACTATATCTTATCTCGCATACAAAAAGAAACAAATCTGGTAACGTCATTCTTTCTTCTATTCCAATAAAGAAGTTAAAACAAGCTAAATGTAGAAAACTTATAAAAAGGCTCTGGCTTTTGCATCCCTGGAATGGAATGGTACAATTGGTCTCAGTCAATCAAGTTTTATTTGGAATTGCAGACATTGTTCAATCCAAATATACACACTCTCACTACTGAAAATCTGTTAATCAGATTTGAGGTCTACATAAGATCCAGTCTAGACATCAAGCACACATATATACATTCAAACATTGCGACATTAGAGGCATTAAAATAAAAATAAAAGAGACAGAACGTACCAAATGAAATCATCGAAATTTCATGCAAAACCATGAAACAGAATATCAAATAACAACAAGATCTAGACTTTAAAAACCCAAAAAGAATAAATAAAAACAAAACAAAGCCAAGATGGGAAAAACAGAGGAAACAGCGGACTTACGAAGCAGTCATCGTCAATAGTGAAGATGTACTTCTTCTTGGAGACCATGTAGCCGAAGCAGCGGCAGGCAGAGTCCTTGAAGGAAATGCAGGAGGACCTAGGACCCAGAATCCTGTTAATGTCGTTACGATTGTAGAGCTCATAGTCAAAGCCATCAGGGACCTTGATGGTCTTTGATGGGTCACCATCTTGGACGATGATGAGGTGGTAGGGCTGAAGGAATGGCCTCCACATCTCGAGGAAGTCGAGGTTTCTGATGGTGGGGATGACAATGTCAAGCTCATCTGTCAAAAGGTGAGTTGCAGAAGCCATTGCAGAAACAAAAGATTGAAGCCTTGAGAGAGACAGAGAAGGAGGGACAGAGTGAGAGGGGTATGAAGGAAGAGAGGGAGTTTGTATAGAAATATAAATGGAGGAGGACGTGGTCGCACGTGAGGAGACGGAGAAAGCGGCACGAGTGTGGGGTTAGGAGGAGACGTGTCGGAGATTTAAAGGTGAAAGAGAATTGTTCAAACCAAAAGGCAGTCGATTGAGAGATTTGCAAAGACCAGAAGAATATATGATTTGATTGGTTTTCTGAGGCTGTTCTTAGCAAAAAAATAGCTTCTAATACCATCATGCATTATGAACCGTCCACGTGATTTGTGAGAGTTTGATGGTACATTCGTTTTGTCAGTGTCACACAGGTTTTGTAATTGGTTGGCTAAATTAGCAGAAAAACTTGTGTGAAACGGGGAGTCAATCATACACTATTACGTGGAAAAATTATCACGTGACATATCGTGATTGATTGGGAAAGCAAAGCAGTGCTATCAAGTGAACTCGCAGAGAATGTGGTAACTCCGGAGATTTGGGAGGAGCAAATTTATCTCTCCATTTACAATAAACCAAGTTACAATGTTCAAGTTTGTTGTTAGTAATACTGGAACAGTGTTTTTCATACAAACAAAACCTCTTGAGGATCATCCAAATATTATGTCTTTATTAACTTCATAGTCCAAGGTATAGTAGCTAATTAAAAAACCAAAAGAACCCAAAATTTTCTTTTAATTAAAAAAACTTCTTTTAAAATTGGAACATGGGAATTTTGAGTACCCGACAATTTGAAAGGTAAACAAAAGAAAGAAACATGGGATGGGGAGAGAAAGGTGGAAGAGAAAAGGTGAAAAAGAAGAAGAAAAGCGTGCGGGTTCAGAAAGTTGAACGTGCATTGAGCATAGGAGCCTGTGTTGTGTTTCTCTTTGCGTCAAATTAACTTACTCAGTGAAAGACGGGACTGCCTTAATTCCCGCTATTGATTTCGGAGCTTTAGGCATCACCTCACGTGCGCAGCACACTCTCCTAAAACACATTGGGCTTCATCTTAAGCAACTCCTCCCTCCTCCTTTTACGTTTCTTCAAAGTCAATAGAAACTTTAATGACCCAAAAAACAAAACCCAGAGCCCAGAATTACAACCTGGTACGACATGGCCCATGAGACTATTACAATTAGAGGGTGTGTTGAGAGGTTTCATTAAGTCGTCTAATAATAGCTCTGTAATTAATCGGATGGCTATTAAGGACTCCTTCATTACAGAATCCATGCGTATCTTAGGATGTTCATAAGAAACCCATCAGATCCACGATCCAAAACCCATTTCTACAAGAAAAACATTTGCATTGCTTGTTCATCTATTGAAATTGCCAATTGCTTCTCAGTCTAATAATATTCAAGAATGTGAAATTTCTAATTATGGGCATCTTGATTGCTTAGCCCAAAAGGGATTTTTAGAGTTTTGCATCTTATCAAGCCAATGAGTTGCAGAAGCTTACAGGGCAGAATGCCCTACAATTATGGTTACCAACCAAGCTCAATTTTTCATAGAAATATGTGTAGAATTGATTTCAAAGCGGCCTCATATTAAACTGTAAAGTCTGCTACACACAGGGCCTAGGGAAATGCATATCATTTGTCAGTTTAGAGTTTTCTTCTCTCTGCATTCCAGAACATAACATTAGCCGACAAAAGGAAATTGCTCAATTTCATTGATTCTCTAATGTGTTAGCACGTTATCATACATCATAAATATTTTCTTTCATATGCTCTCTCTCTCTCTCTCTCTCTCTCTCTCTATATATATATATATATATATTCTTTTCCATGTACATAATTCAGTTAGCAAGATGAGACACCCTAAGGTGCAGTCCATTTGGTGCCTCTACTCTTGGAAATTTCGTCAGTTTGTCTCCCCCAACTTCTTCCCACCTGCGAGGAACACAAATATATACCATCAAAACAAGTATTAGAATTTCATCTTAACTGAGAAAGTTTTTAAATAAATAAATTTTTTGAAAATTTATGTGTTTTGATGTGGGTTTTTAGTCACCTGTATCTAGTTACAAAGTAGTGCAGGAAAGTTGAAATCTCTGCAATTCCAAGTTCCTTTCCTGGACACTGCCTTGTGCCCCCTCCAAATATAAGGCAGTAGTTGTGAGATTCCAAGCTCTTGTCCTGCATTTTTCATTCAGACCCAATTTAGTCACATTTTTTATGAAAAAATTACTAATCTTAATCTCACAGGAAAATAAATAAATAAATAAATAAAGAGTGTCACTAACCAGCCATCTCCATGGATTGAAGGTTAATGGATCAGGATACAGAAAGGAGTCATAATTAATCTCTCTGGTGTAAACATAAATTCTCCACCCCTTTGGAATCAGATAACCTGTTGAAGGATTGAAGAAAAAAGCTGTGGTTAGCTACTTGAAACATTTCTTAGCTCTGCCTTTGTTGATGATGAAGCTTAATTTTAAGCCCTGGTCCACCACTATCTTATCTAAAACCCTAGCCATTAAAAACCATCTTAAATATTATGCACCCTAAATTTCCCCATGTCATTAAAAAAAATCCTGATTGTCTAGCTGTGTTGGTATATTTGTTGTGAAAAATAATCATGGGTGTGTTCACATCACTCTTGTGAGTCATATCTATGCACTGTTTCACTCTCTTTTTTTGCCAATAATGTATTGGAAGTTGCATAACAGTTTCTTGAATATCATATATGCCTTTAAAAAAATTCCTGGCTCACCATTTAGCTCCATATCTTGAGTGGTTTTCCTCAGCACCCCATTGACAATGGTAGCTAATCTTGAGGTCTCAAATATCACCTGCAGGGGAAAGAAAAGAGAGCATATATATATTAGCAAACCCTGCTGTTATAATAAGAAAAAATGCAAATGATGCATCTAATTAAAGCTGAGAAATCTCTTACCGCACGAGTAAACCGCATGGATTTCAAGTCATTCCAGTCAATTGGATCCTCTGGCCTTTTCTTTTCTCTGATTGCCAAATGTTCTTTCTACAAATTATGCAGTTAAAGTCAGAACTGCAAGCATGAGAATGCAACACAACAACATGAACAAGAACAAGTTCTTTTGTTTTTTGTTTTAAGAATCATATACATCTTAAACTTACTCTGAGTTCTTCAAGCGCTTTGGGATGATCATGGAGGTACTTCACAGCCATCATTGAAGTAGTCGAAACGGTCTCATAACCCGAATATAAGATTGTGATTATGTGATCAATTATTTCTTCATCACTGAGTTTGTATCTGTTTTCATCACTCAGTAAGCAACCAAGCATGTCTTGATGGACTTCTTGGGAAGCCCTTCTCTCCTCTATGAGCTGTTCCAGCATGCATATGATGTTCTTCCTTCCCTGCATAAGTCATAACATGGTTCACAATCTCAAGTATTAGATCTTTCATAACTCTAATGAGAGATTAGATATGATAATGAGAAAATAAACTGGATTTATACCTGGAATCCACGGCGGTAATTTGTGCCAGGAAGGTCAATAGGCAATGAAAGGGTGCCTAAAACAAGCTTGAAGAACTCAGTCTTGAATGCTTCAGAAATTGAGCTTGACTCAATGCCTGCAATCTGCTTAAGTGATGAGAGAAGTGCCATCTGCATAAAACAGTCGAAGGAAAATTGATTAGAAAGGTGAAAAATAACTACACAAAAAATAATATGAATTTGGCTTTTATTTATTTATTTAAAAGGAATATTATTACACAAACCTCTTTGGTCTTTTCTTGAATGTTGATGACTTGGTTAGCCCAACCACTGAGGTGGGATCTCATGAAGTCATCAATTTTAGGCAAAATCTGGTCTCTGATCATGGTTGGGTTAATGAGGGCAAGCAATGAGCCTCTCATGTACTTGTGAGTGGAGCCATGAACTGCTGCAATGTTACATTTTCCCAATATATCCAACATGGACTGAGGATAGCCAGGAACAAGCCCTTTGGCTTCATTCATTAGGATGTATCTGTTCAGCTCCGGATCCATGGAAACAACTGTAGGGCACCCCAGTATGTGGGATTTGAAAAAACTACCATACCTGTTACCAGAAAATCAAAATTATAAAAAACCCAACTGGAGTGTTCAAAACAGAACAAAACAGAGGAACAACCATTAACATGTATGCCAAAAAAAAGCAAAACTTGAATAGAAAATCACCTTGCTCTCTGGTTTTTCATGAAGTTAGGGCCTTGTTTGAGAAACTCAGTAGTCTCCCCAAAAACTGGCCAACCCATTGTGCCTGGAGGGAGGCCTTTCTTCCTGTACCTCACTTCATTCCATCTCAGCAAAGCAGAGCAGATACAGAGGACAAAGAGAAAACAAAGTATCACCATGAACACAGCCATTGATGCTCCCTAGAAGCTGCAAAACCCCCAGACAGAGAGCATTCAATGGTATGGGCATGCTCTAGTTTATGAGAGAGTCAAAAGTGTGCATATATATATATATAGGCCTCTCTCAAGTCTCAACCACCATATGCATTAGAGAAAAAGGCCAGATAGGCCAATCCATGCACCCTATACAAATTGAGGGACCCTAATCGATGACCTCCAGAAGTAAAAGCACACTCAGAAAAATAATTAAATGACTAAATAAATTGTTCTTAGCTCTTTCCAAAGTTTTTAACTTAGACCCAACAAAGATTAACAATGATTTGCTCAAAAGTGGGTAGATACTGAGAAACATTTACTGCTATAATATTTTATTTTGGAGGGTACAGGGTTTCAAGAAATGAATTGGTTATTTTTTTGTTTTGTATTTATTTCTTTGGTAGAAAACTAGAGAGGGCTCTAACTCTAAGTAGTAAAATTTGAATGCATATGTGACGAGGCACATGCACACCGCACTCTAGGGCCTAATAGAAAAGTGAATATCCTTCACATGCCCCTCAACAATATCTGTTAATGGAATTACAAAAACCAGAAGAAGACAGGAGCTTGGTTACCATGTGAATAAGTGGAGAGAGAGAGAGAGAGAGTATTTTGGTTTCATTCTAACTGCTAGTTTGAAACTTTGGGCTGTCCCTAGTAGTTTGAAGCTGTAGTAGACTGTAAATTCCTAGAATCCGCCCTACTATTGACTTTTTGACTGTTAATATGGACTTTCAAAGGGAAATGAAGTTTCAAATGATGTCACAAGACAACACAATAGAATCTTGCCTCA